CGCCCCCCCACCCTTGCCCGGCCGTGTCTCAAAAGTCGATCTCAACCCATGGCGCAAGGCTCCCGACATCTCCAGCATGCCTCGATGGGGCATCCCAAATCATTACCAGTCGCCAAGTTTGATCGACTTCCGCGTGCAGCAGCGGACGTCACAATACAAGTGTGCGGAAGTGTGCGACCATGCGCGCTGTTTCTCTCTCGTCTTCGCTGGTTCGCCGTGCTGCTGTCCTCATCGCTCTGTTTGGAAGATTCGAATCTCGTAGTCTAGTCAGCTTGCAGAAATCGACAGACTCATGCTGACCTACAGTACGGCGCACGTTTCGCGATATCTTGAGTATGCCTCCCCTCGCCAAGCTTGATCGACTTCCGCGCGCAATAGCATACACCACAAGCTTGCGGCCACATGCGGCCATGCGCGCTGTTGATTATCTCGTCTTCACCTTCACCGGCTCACCGCGTCTTTCTGCCTCCATCGCTCTTCATCGCTGTTTTTGTCTTCTCGAGCAATTTCGGCAAAACCTAGTCACAAAGCTGGTCGACAGCAACCAGCAGACCGATATCGCGCTACATGTAGGGCGCACGCCTCACGATATTTTGAGGATGCATTGGTAGGCATCGTGATTCGTCGCCCCCCGCCACGTCTCATCACCCTCCGAGCGCAGGAGCATTCGCCACAGAAGTGTGCGACCATGTGCGACCATGTGCGCCGTTACTCTCCTCTTCACCTGTCCGCCGTCTTCCTGTCGTCATTGCTCTTGCTTGTGACCCATTTCGGAAAAACCGAATTTTAGTGTCCGCTTGGCAGCAACCAACGGCATCATGTCCATTCATTTCTTTCATGGTGTACTACATGAAAATGTGTGTGTGAGCTGAGTGAGTTGTCAACGCGACCTATTGCCTACAAGTCATGATGCGACGAAACCGCGCACGGTGCGCCGATGTACAAGCATCCTTCATTCAGAGCAGCACAGTGCGACCATGTGCATTCATGCGCGCTCTCCATCGCTCGTTATTGTGTAGATTTTCGGGGAAAAATGAATCTCAAGGGGCCCGTGAAGCGTCATCATCCTGCATCATAGGCAGAGATATTTTCGGTGTACACACGTAAACGAATAGCATGTGGAATGCTGCAGAGATTGGTTGAGTTCATGTGCGTTCATTCCATGTGTCCCAGCAGAATAACATATCACACCCCATACACAAAACGAACACCCATGTGGTAACTTTGGAACGCAGCAAAATGTCATCACACGGTGGTGTGGTATTCTTGTGCAACCTACCGTAACCAAACAAGTATACCGTAGGGAAAAATCGAATTGTTACGGGCGGGTGTCTTTGTCCACGGCGCCACAAACGTGCACGTACACAGCGGCACCACAGCACCAGAGAAGCTCGACAGCATGTCAAGAATTAGAGGGTCTCGCTGCTCGCCAATTCGTCTTGTTGTGTACATTCATTCCTTCATTCTAAGTATCGATTGCTCGCGGGTGAAGGTGGTCTGATTTGAGTCGGGGGCCTCTACTACTGCTTTGTAGAAGCTTGATTGCTCCGTGCCTCTTGGGTCTCCTGTTTGTGTCCTCACTCGTGTTCTGTTCATGTGCTCACGCACCGCTGCTCGTGGTACTGCTACATATTCACGTGTATGACTACTCTAAACCCCTGCTGCTGTGTCCAACAGATAGGTTTCAGGCGAGTAACAGAAATGTGGGGGCTGAGTGAATTCCAACGCGACCTATCAGTAGTGCTAATCCGGATACGGTGCGCTCAATCATGTGCAAGCATGCTGCCTACACCAGGATTGCGCGACCATGTGCGACCATGCGCGCTGTTTCTCTCCTCTGCACCGGCTCGCCGTATTCCTTTCCCCAGAGAAACGTTTTGCTCGGAAGAAGTTCGGACTACGGTATGCAAACATCTCAGTCCGCTGGCAGCAACCGCACCAGCCGATGTGACCGATTCATGAACACCCATCAGCGTCTGCATGCCAACACGCACGCGCCGTTACCGAAGTTACAAGGATCCTAGATACAGAAGTCAGTTATGTTGGAAGAATTGTAGAATAAGAAGGGTAGCAGGCGAATGATTCATGGGAGATTTGTACTTACAGTAGCTGAGGAATAACAGGATTTGTGCAGGATAAACTGTAGTCTACTGTACAAAGGGACCAACCAGCAGTTGGGAGAGGTGCTACTTGGGAGTATAGCGACTAATATGTCCAAGGAACGAGTTCACCACGACAAACACACGAGGCATCCACCCTGCTTGCGAGTGGCCACGAACATAACACGACCTGTTGGACAAGGGCGCGGAACTCCTCACGACAAACTCAAGGCAAAAAAAAAATGATGAGAGATGGATTCGTTAGGTCATACCTGGGAAAAAATCAAAATGCAATCGGCGTACAGTTGACGAAGAAAGGTGCTGATGAAGCAGCGTGCTCTGTACCTCTCCGCCTGTGTGTTCTGAATTATGCCGTACCCTGCACAACAGCTTGCAGGTTGTTGTTCAGCTACTAGGTGCGGTGCTCGAGTGGTTGCTAAGCAGAGCATCATCCAGCAGCAGCAGCAGCAGCATACTAATGTACTATAGTGTTGTGTCAGGAGAAAGGTGCGGCTTCCCGACGGATTCTTGCGTGTATGATTAATGTCTTCCAAATCATGAGAGAGGACTCACACAGCAGTAAAACAACATAAAAAAATATACAAAAGCAGACAGCAGACCCACGAGGCCGCGTTGGCTACAGTTGTATTACCCAAGAGTTAATTGTTTGAAAACTGAAACAGATTTGCCGAAAAAAGCTCATGCAGGCAATGGATGCAGGAAGAAAGATCCGTTCTCGCGTGTATACCTGCCATACCACACAGCACATGCTTCCCACAAAATAGGATACATGGAGAGATATCGCACAGCAGCAACAGCAGCGGCTAGGAAACGAAAAAAGGAAAAAAAGTTGAGAATTAATGCGCTGTTGATTGTGTTGAAAAGTATTTTTGGGAAAATAGGAGACGTGATCGATGTGCTGCTGTAGATCCTTTCTTTTGCGTCTAGACAAAGTAACTGGCTACAAACCTCGATCCCTCCCTGTATACAGCACATGTCTCGCTCATAAGTTATATCATGATACCGTTTAGGCAAGCGGGATTGATGTACTGCATCTGTAGTTCCCAAAACAGCAGTTTTTGCCTGCGAGCTCAGCCGAAACATGGTGTCGATCCAACGTGTTTGTGTGCATTTCTTTCATTTTAACATCGACCACACTAAACCGGCGAACCATACTGTGTTTACGTGTTGGTCCTGGGACAAACCCATCTACCGTATGAACAATAGTTGTATTCGAATTTGCGGCCCACAGCACGGGTGCTACGCTGCTTCTCCCTACAACCGTGTTATTGATTTTCCAGCAGACGTAGGTGCAGCGATATTCAGAGAATACTCCCGCGCATAGACCCGAATTCCTATTGGCCATTTTATGTATTCCCGTGTGCCTATGCGCCAAGCAGGCATGCATGATTGCGTGAATCCTCCATGAGTGAGCATTGTTGGTAGGGCCTATGGCGGTGTTATGATGTTTCATACCTTGGGAATCGACATCGAAAACAGACTGTTGGTGCGTAATCCCTGAACATAGGTATTGATCCCTGCTTTGTTGCTCACTCATGCGCGACTCATGTTGTACCAGATGGTTCGTGTTTCCCGTGATGTCGGGTTCGAGCGACGCGGGTGCGCGTGCACTCGAAGGAGGGAACACAACAACGGGAGAGGCTGCGATGAGGACAAGGCGGGTGGAAAACTACACGTATGTGTGATAATGTAGTTCTTGGCAACCGGACAGGCACACAGTGGTACATCCTCCAGCGGTGGGCGAGATTCTTCAACACCCTACTCAACACCAAATCCCTCACCCTGAACCCAGACATCATCGAACGAGTGACGCAGCGGCCAGCGACACGTGACACTCAACGGTTGGGAGATGTGCCAGAACTCGAGGGGGTGGCACGGGCAACGAAAGGCCTCAAGAACTGGAAGGCACCCGGCCATGACTCCCTCCCTGCCGAGTTGCTCAAGATCGATGACGACGAACCCTTCGTCCTGGGACACCTCCATACCATCCTCGTCAAGGTGTGGAACGGAGGAGATATTCCGCGAGAGTGGAAGGATGCAACCATCAAGGTGCTGTACAAGAAGGGTGACCGGTCCAACTGTAACAACTACAGAGGGATTTCGCTACTATCTCACGTAGGCAAGGTCCCCATCAAGATCATCACCAACCGTCTAAGCGCCTTCTGCGAAGCCAACAACATCCTCCCGGAGGAACAGTGCGGATTTCGACCCGAGCGATCCACCGTCGACATGCTGTTCGTCTTGCGCCGCCTCCAGGAGCTGGGGCGGAGTAAGAAAATACCGCTCTACATGTGCTTCGTCGACTTGAACAAGGCGTATGATTCGGTGGACCGAGAGATGCTATGGAAGGTGCTGGCCAGGGCCGGGATTCCCGCGAA